ATTAATGAATCTATCATTAGTAGTAAATAAGTAAGTAATTGAGGTGCTCGCGTTTTCTTCGAGTCGACATTGTCCAATTGAGACAATGCTTGAAAATAACAACCTAACTGACTCTCCGTTTATTCATTTATTTTAGCATAAGAAATGAACGGTAATTTAAAGTCCATTAGTGAAATAAGTAGGGTAAATTGACAAGCGGAATTAAATTTGTAGACAAAAATCGTTTCAATTTTGCACTAATTTTTTTAGAAGAGAAGCAGTACCGTAATAAGCTATTTGGTTTAAATTTTCTAGGGGGCTTTCTATGCATTCAAAATCATAAGAAACCGTGAGGAAAGGTTAAAGTACTAAAAATAAATTTTATCTTGTTTAAAGATCATATTTTTTGGCATTTAGGCAAGCCTTGAATATCCGTTCAGGTTATTCGATGTTTTAGCTGCTAATAGGTCCATTAATTTAAATATCGCATGGAGAATTATAATTGTGCAGTATCGCGTATGAATCCTTGCTTACAATGCATTTCGACATTAATTGCTTGTTTTAGCCAGTAATTTTTGGTTAGTATGTAGCGGATTGCTACCTTAGTAAAGCCTGACTGACTCAGAAATCTCTATGGCAGATTCTCTAACATCTAGCTAGATTCCCAGAACCAGCTAAGCTATAGCCCAGCTATAAAAGAAACAGACGTGTAGTACGGAGCACGTTTATTCAGTGCGAGTATTGCAGATAAAGTGAACACGCAGGAAGCTTAATCATGATCAGGATGTGGATTAGGTTAAACAAACAGAGGTTAATGATTGGTCACTGAACGGTCGCACCTCCCAATCCTGGCTTGCAGGCATGCGATGACGTGTCCCACAAGTATGTTCCTAGTCATGGAGTTTTTTCCTTTAGTTCGTTAATCAGTCTTAAATTCGAAAGAATTGTCCGAATGTAACATTTTAAAGTGTCCAAACAAAAGAAGTGAGTTGCTTACCCAGGTTCTTCGTTAGAAGATGTGTGAGAAACCCATGAAGAGATAAAGTAAATCGCATGAAGGAGATTTGTGACAAATGAGGTTAAAACCGCGATGACTTCACTTTCACCTCAGCAAAATAATCTGATTGGCGCTTTACGAAAATTGCTTTTACCAATCAATAAATCCAATTGGATTTTAAGGTTGCGAAAAATTTCGTTAAAGTGCATCATCAATTCGGTTGCTTCTAAATATCAAAACTGCCAATGTGCTACTTATGGCTTATTTCTAGACTACAACAACCTCTGTTAAAAAACGTTATTATTGTGTAAATTAGTCAGCTTTTCCGTGTTCCATGGCAGTGAATTAGTGATTGTTCTTCTTTATTAGAAAAAAAGACTATTGGCAGCGTATCTTTTTATACGTAAGAGCATTGCCTAAGTCAGGTGTTTCTTCTTTCAATTTTTGTTTTCCGAAATTGAAACAAAACAGAAGAAGTGTAATCAAGCATTTACCTAATCTGTGTAAATTTATTGGTCAGATCTTTACAATGGTAATTTCCTTCTCCATTTAGCAAAAGTGAAATAAACAACAATCTAAAAAAAGTATTCACTCAATATGTATTTTTCAATCAAATTGAATCCGATTTTCTCTAAAGCAAAACTCAAAAAAGGTCGAGAATGGAAACAGACTTTCTTGAAGGTGGACATAGCGCAGTTAATTTCAAGTACATAGCCGCTAAAATTACTAAAATTTTCAATAATCACAATAAAGTTGAGATTTCAAATGATCTAACTCTCCGCCTTACAAAACTCAAAAAAATTGCTTGTAAAAGATTGCTGTCTTTTAAACTGGTCTAATAAATGTATCAAATTAGAAGCAGGCAATTTTAGCAATAGTAATATTGATACAAACAATAACTCCTCTTGCAGAATGAGAATAAAACCTCGGTTTTATACTGTTTTTGCGACGATTTCTAGATTTTATGACCTTTTTTGCTTTGTTAAAAATAGTCAGTGGTAAGGTTCCAACAGGCTATTTCGACGAATGTGAAACAACTATGTTTTGGCACATGCAAAAGAAAGGGGAAAATGCATATGTATTTTTAATTCATATTTAAGCCATTTACCTCTCACGCTTGAAAAAACAACAAAGGAAACAATGCCATCCACCTACTCTCCACACACAAAGAAACAATGGCACACTAGAAATTGAACATGCAATCACTATCTTTGCGCTAAGGAATGTGTGCTTTCAAACAGCCATTCCAAATTCAAAGCTGCTCAAGAGATGGAATAGATGTTTCAAGGAGTAATTATTATTATAAAAGTAATCAGCTTTGATTCAATTTAAGAAGCAGAGACATTCACAGGGTTTGCTTCGGATTCGGTTACAGGCTTTTCTCCATCTTTCTCCTTGGGAATCAAAGACGTTCGGACCCTCGATGCACAAATATGAAAAAGGGGTTTACCCTCGGTGACAGATTTCGTATCGTGATAACCCAGTGGTCCAATCTCACAGTCAGCACAGATCAAGTATTTGATATTATCTACGGCTAAGCAAAATCCCACATTCTCAAAATCCGTCATATTTTTCACCGTCCAGAATTCCGTCTCCATTTGACGAGGAAATGAGTCACCATTCTGAAGGAGCTCCGACTTTCTGGCGATAATCGGAAGTGAAAACTATAAAATTAGAAATAATGGAGTCATTACTGTGAGGGTTTACTTGCAGGCGAAAAATTTCCGATAAGATCTCGGGCATATTAAGAACAATGGGACAAATTAATGCAATCGATTAAATTGCAGATTGAAAATGATAATCTTATAAAAAAAGAGCTTTGTTTTCTTTGCAGCAGAAATAAAGAGAAAAAGAAACAAATAGCTAGTTAGGAATGGAAAACCTATTCAATAGCAATCAGACAAAGAGGTAGAGAAAGAGAGGATATGCATATAATTAGTAGGGTAAAAACGTTTTCTTATTTAGGAATAAAATTGCAATTTATTCATGTAAATCGACTCTGAACAAAAAGAAATTAAACTTAACTAAGAAGCAAAATAAAACTTAGGCAACCTTGCGGTAAGATCTCTCCTGCCAACTAAGTTCTCCGGTAATGATTTATTTTTCGATTCTTTAATTACTAACATTGTGGGTCACTCTGTTCTAGTTGGTTCACTCTTCTTCCCCTCAAAGTTGTCGAATCTCCACAGCTTAATCCTAGATGCATTCCCCTCAACTGTAAAAAAAATTAAGGTGCAGTCTTAGTCTGCACTATCTCGTTTGTGGTGAAGAAGACAAAGAAATTAAGTGAATTAACAGTAAATTGCAACGATTAACCTGGAGAAAAGAAGCCCATTTCTGATGACAACTACAATTAATCCATTCTTCGACGGTATATATCTAACAATTCCGAAAAATTATCTATTTGAAAAAAAACAACTAATTTGTGGAGGATTATATTTCAACTTCATGTCATTGTGCTATTGTCAACACAGATTTTAATATAGAGCCGTGATTAAGGCTGAAGACTTCTTGTTTTACTTCCCTTCCTCTCGTACTATTCAGGGCTACGAGGCAACTTAACCGAGACACGATTTAATCAAAAATGAATTCGAAAGCCCATACCTAAATACTAGGCAGGGTACTTGAAAACCCCCCCCCCCCCAAACGAATCGCGATAGAAGGGAGAAAGTTTTGCTCGTCACTATCTCACAGGTAATTTTTATTCCCTAATCACATCAACCAAGCAACCAAGGGGATGAGGATTAGATTAAATCTAATCAGATAAGCTTCTGATGTGTGCCTTAAGCTACTATTGAAAGAATAGTTTTTTGCCTTGTAAAATGCGTGATACTGAAAATGTTACCAAAAAAATGAAATAGACATTTATGCAGTTTCCAATCCGAAGAACGCCTCAAATCAAGAAAACCCTAAGAAGAATATGGTATTACTCACTAAATTCTGGTCATTCTAAAGATGCGTAATCGCCGTTACTTTTAACTTAGAAGGAAAATTACTAACAATTTAATGGAAGATTTCGATGTTTGCCCACTAAAGTTAAAATCATTAGACCTACTTATAGTAGAAGAAAGACATTTTACATGAAACTTAGCAAATGAAACAAGCACATTAACTGATGATGTACTAACAAAGAACAGAATATTGCATAACTCAAGTCAAGGTATTACGCTACTACCCCTAATCCTATTGACAAACTGTATGAATGATACAATCAATCAAAGAATACCTAGAATGCGGTTTATTGAGAATAAACTCTTATCCCAATCAAAAACCATAAACCAATTAAGGGACTGCTACTCCAGATTATTCGTTTTTACTCTATTGAGTATTGCTTACGATGATCGTGAGAAAGAAGTAAGTCGTAGGAAAGTGGGGAAAATGTGATGGTAGTCTATTCATCGATCATTAAACAAAATATTGAGGTGCATAAACGACTACTTACAAATATAAGTAAGATCATTATCTACATAAAAATCGAACATAGAAAATAACACTAAATAGCCAGCAAGGAAACAACTAGTCATGAGCAACTGCGATAAAGACCAATGGATAGAAATATCAATTTTTTTGAACAAGGAGATTGTCAGAGCAGGCCTATAATATTTTTCATATGTAAGACGAAGTTATAGCACACTTGGTTAACTTATATGATTAAAGTCAGCTTTATTAACGAAGGTAAATAACTAAAGGAACAACAAAATGTTAAAGTTTAACTGTTCGAATACAGCAATTAAAGGAACAGAAACGAAAGTGTATCCGACTTCAAAGTTTAAGTGCTTTCATGTTTAAATATTACAAGAAGAAAATTTATAATAATAGAAAATTTGGAAGAGAGCTTACTTCACCATTGGTAGAAAAGGCGGTATGTGGTCGATAAATAATGGACGGACATCTTGGGCAGTAAACAACATCACTGTTCAGATTTTGACCGTTTGATTCCATGATATTATCCCTAAAATATTTCCAAACAATGCAAGACAATGCAGGTAGCAAAATTAGATTGCCAATAAAAAACTGAAAAGGATTAAAACAATTTTTTGAAATTATGCAATGCTTACAAGTCAAAAGAAGTTAAAACTAGTACATAATGTAGAAAATATTAATGGTTGTCATTATAAAATAAATAAAAGATGTTATTTACCAAAGTAAAGAAACCAAGAAGCACAGTTTAAAATAAAAAAGAGTTTCAAAAAACGATTACTTTATTAAATTCGGTCAATTAACCTAAATCCTAAAATTTCAGATGGGCCAAAGCAGGCAGAGAACAAGCAAATGTGCGAAGGTGATCCAAACGCTACGCACACATTTCAATCTATTAAAACTTCTATGTCAACTAAAATTGATTTTAGTGCTTTAAAAATTTAATTTGGCAACTACAACTTATTTTTCAGGCTAAACTCAAATATATACACCAAGTTAGTAATAGATAGTTATCGGGAAGATAAGTGATTTTTTTCTTTTCTCCGTCCCCGCTATTTTATAAGACTATATTCAAATATTTAACTTTAATATTTGAAATACAATTCTGTTATATGAACATTATTATCAAAGCTTTTATTTATAATTGCATTCGAAATCATAAAATGCTTATCTGCATTAAATCAAACATTGTCATTGACGAATATTATCCTTGAAACACATCTGTCTGTCTTACTTTCATCCAGTAGTTTTAGTGTACTTTTTGTCTATAATATTCGATCTATTATTGTGAAACAACGAATTGACAAATACTTTAAATTTGAAGTACACATAAGCTAAAATGTAGAAAATTGATTGCAACCTCTACCCTGTGCTTCTGCTCAGTAGTAGCCTCATAAAGTTGTATCATCTTCTGTACGGACAAGCTAGAAATGTTGTTCCTACCCAACTTGCTTTATTTGCTGACTACTGGATTTTATATACCAATGACCAAAAATATTATGAATTAAAGAGATAGCCACCATGTTGAATGCAGAATTTTGTAAAAAACAAATGGTTCTTAACTAAGACTTAATAGATTTATATAGAAGAATATTAATATTATTGCAAGAAAACAGAAATTTAAATTTGCAAGTAGTTGATTTAGCATGAATGAAACAGCTGTGGTTCAAATAAAGAATCTAAATATTCTCAAATGAATCGTACGTTGACGAAGAAAATATTTCTAAAAACGAGTTGTTTTTCCTTGTAATTTAATGCTAATCACACATTTAAGAGTGGAATAGAAAACATTTTCAACTGAAAAAGTTTATCCTTGTTCCATATACCACAGATTATAAAACTTTTAAGGTGGGTCCTTACCTTCGTGGTTTGAAATGCTTTATACTATATGGTTAATTTTGTCTAGATCACAGTTTCGAGGCGGTAGGGTGTAAAATTATTTTAGTTGGGTCACCGCAATGAAACCGATGCAGTGCATTACATATTTAGAATTTCAAAGTATATTCGACGTCAAGGAGTTAGGTTAGTGTAAGTTTTACCTTCCTGTGCAAGTGCTTTAACACATCTTTCCATTCCATTTGCTTATCTAAGGCTGATAACTCTTACTTTTTGACTTGGTTATTTAATCAATAGATTTTAAGTTCCGATGTAATCTGTATTGTGCTCTCAATCAACCCTCCCCCCCCCCCACTTTCACCACACACTCACCCCTTAAAACCCAGCAGACAACACCATTTCTTGATGTATGCGACCTCAACTAACCTCATACGCACATACTGTCAATGCTTCCAATTTCTAGCTCAAAACTCATCGGTTTCTCCTCTCGTTTTGTTTCACCGCACCTCCTCTTGGATACCCTGTCTCCCAAAGAACTCCTGATATAGCTCTCTATACCATAGGCATGGCATGTTGGTATTTACAATAGCCCCCAATTCTCCACACTAACGAAGGTAGGAAAGAAAAGCTCCAACATAGAACATTTATTTATTTATTTCAAATAGCAGGCGTTTTGAAAGTTATCATTAGCCATTTAGCTGACTTCAGGCTTCACAGAGAGGAGGAGGAACATCAAAGTGACAAAAAGTCGAGGGGGGGACAGAATAATGATTCACATATGTGACAGAGACAGACAAAAGAGCAGAGAAAAGGTAAGATGAGTACTGTGAAATGGGTTGAATATGGCATACAGTGGGGGTAGTTTGAAGTCAGAAGTCAACTGTCGGTTAATAGACTTTTTTGCGTTATGAGTATACGTTGCTCAGGGTGCACCACGTAGACCATAATAATATTAAGTAACACAAGAACTTCCGAGCTTCAATGGTGAATCTAAAAATAACAAATGGAGGTTTCAAACGGTTTAAAGTGAGGGAGAAAATTAACCCAAACTAATAGTACCGTAAAGGTAACATCAGAATTTCCAATGAGACTAGCATAAGGCGATTGTGTCATCTAGAACATATCAGCTAAATACCAGATCTCTTTATGGCGATTGTCAAATAACAGAATCGAGTGTAGTAGAAATATCCGTGACAATTAGCCAGTGTCTTTGAAGGAGCATTTCAATGAGTAAAATCCCTATGTACTTTTATGCTTGCGATATTCCCACCCCCCTCC